GGCAGTGGACTCCATGACAGTGGTTTGGTTTAAGAAGCCCTGGTGGTAGTGGATTACTTGTTGGGTTGCTAACGGTCATGTCAACCGGTGAACTCACCAGCCACTCCAAGAGAGAAAGATGACGCTATCCGCTCCCATAAAGATTTACAGTCTCAGAAGTCCAAAGGGGAAGTGCTACTCTATCCTACGGAGTCACCGAGCTGTATTTGTTTTGAGGGTGTCACTTCTTATGCACTTAAAGAAACAATGCAATTCTAAAATCAAGACTAGCCACGCGGGGGAGTGGGGAGACTCAGCAAATTTCAAGGACATGTCTAACAATTACAAGATAGCTGTGTCCAGTCAAGTCTGACTCATGTCAACCTCATATGTGTTAAAGTAGAACTGTGCTTCCTCGGTGGAGTCTGGGGAAGTGGCTAGTCTGAAGTTTAAGGAGTTGTATGAACTCCTGAGCTCATGGGCACTGACCTATCCTATGGGGACTAAGGCTGAGAGTGAAAGGGCCAGCTTATCTGAAGTGCAGGGAGGTATGTGTGAACGCCCAAACTTGCAGCTGGTACCCATTTGACCTAGCTTGGATGACTACGGCTGAGCCAACCAGAACCTGACCAAATGAAGACAAAGGTGTTTGATACTGTGAGCAAGTATGAATTGCTACAATTTAATGGACTGGAATTTTTCTTATGGATGCAGTTGCTCAAAATTCCAGCTGGAATGGAAGAATCTTCAGATCAAGGAGCATGCTTGTCTCCTCAGTGTACTGGCTTGGTAATGATAGGCAACTTAGACACTGGCAATCAAAAACGGGGTAGGGGGGTTATAAAGACACAAACTTTCATGAGCGTGCTTTGTTTCAGAAAGAGCCAGGGTAAGGTAGAATCCCCACTGAATAGTTTCCTTCTTTTCCAGATGGATCTAGTGAAAGGGGATGGGGGATGATGATGGTAGGATTTTATGATTCAGTAGTGAGTTAATTGTGTGGCGCTGTGGGTTAATGAGCCAGACTGCAAAGCCGTTTTAAACTGCAAAGTCAGTAGTTCAAGCTCACCAGCTGCTCCTGGGAAATCCTATACAGGGTCGCTATGGGTCAGAACCGACTCGACAGCACTTAACAACAACAGTGAGTAATTATCAGGATTGATCACAATTGTCACACCTGTAATTGTAGAAGCTGTGTAACTAAAAGGGGGGAGTAGTTAATCTTTCATTTCAGGAACACAGGATCCCAAGGACCATCAAGAAGGAAGAGCATAAGTAGAGCATAAGATCCAACCCAGAAAAATGGCAACAGCAGAGATAGTGGCTGAGGCGATGCATGGAGAGACAGAGCAGCTGAGAACTCTAGGTCCCTGGACTGAGAAAGGCTGGACAAGAACGTGGCTTGCAGAATGTGCCCTTTGGACTTTTAAATAAATATATATTTTTGTTTAGTTTGGTTTGCATGTGTGCATCAGCTATTTTTGCTTTGTTCATTTGTAAAATACATAATGTAAAAATATAAATGGGGCCAGTGCATTTTCAGTTGTACACATTTGACTTATATCATGTTAAGCACAAGTATGACTATAATTTTCCTTATTTACAAATTATGCATATAGTTTATATGTGTCAAGTTGACAAACGGTAGACTATGATAGTTCGGGTTTTGTGTCAATTTGACTGGGTCGGTTTGGCAATTGAGATGTGCTTATTCCCATAGTGAAATCTAATACAGCATAGTTAATGATGATTAACTATGAGCAGCCAAACAACTGAAAGGATGTTTCCTGAGAGGTGTGTACTGCTCTCAATATAATGGACAGTCAGGAAAATCTTGCTGTTTTTTCCCACTGGGGGCCATTTCCTTGATATAAACTTTATACACACACACACACACACACACACACACATATGGTATGCCAGAGGATAAGCACTCAACCTCAAGTTTGGTTTAAACTGCAAGGGTGGCAGTTCAAACTCACCAGTTGCTCCTAGGAAACCCTATACTGGGTCGCTATGAGTTAGAATAGACTTGATAGCATTTAACAACACAACAACAACATACATATATATGTTTCACTGATTTTGCTTCTCTAGAAAAGCCTATCTAAGGCAGTCACCATATTCATTTCTAGTTTAGTTACAATCTCACAGAAATCTTCTGTACCCTAAACTAAATTGTAAAGCCAACCACTAACACCCATTTAACATAAACAAATTAAAAAAAGGGAATTGAAAGAACAAATTATGCAACATATACAAATATATACATATAAAACAAGTGTTCTTATTATCTGTCCTTAATAATCCATTCCCAAACTTAGGGGTTTTAAAGGACAATCCTGCTATTAGCTCTCATGGGTCTGTGGGTTGGTTGGGATTGGTGAGGCAGTTCTGCTGGCTTCATGTGGGGCTTTTCCTGTGACTACAATCAGATGGCAGCTGAGGTTGTTGTCATCTGAAAGCTTGACTGATCTCTCCAGCAGGATAATCAGCCTTATTTCATGGTGGTTCCAGGCTCCCACAAGCAAGTATTCCAGAAATTGGGACCTTTATACTGCTGCTGGAGATGTAAAATAGTGCACCCCTTGTGGAAAACCTTGTGGGTGTGGCAGTTCCTCAAAAAGTTAAAAATAGAGTCATCCTATAACCCAGCAATTGCACTCACAATATACCTAAAAAATTTGAAAGCATGATTGAAATGAATAATGTTCACCAAAGCATTATTCATAATCGCTGAAAGGTGGAAACAACCCAATTGTCCATCAACAGATTTGTGGATAAACAAAAATGTTGTGTATAGACATAACGGAATATTATTCAGTCATAGAAGCGTAGTTCTGATACGTAACAACATAATACTAAATTAAATAAGCCAGACACAAAAGGGCAGATAATTATGATTCCATTTATATGAAATGTCTAGAAGTAGATCTCCAGGCATACTTTGGAATGAAAAACTTCATCTTTCTCCCATGGACTGGCTGGTGGATTTGAACTGCTGATCTTGCAGTTAGCAGCCCAACACATAACCCACTAGGCCACCAGTGTGCCTCAAATATTTCATGCATACAATTTTTTCCTACCTAAATTTAATTAATCTTTCCCACTTGCAGGAATACAAGTGATAGGAAAAGTACATGAAGTAATGAAAAAGAGATCAATGTGTTAAATGTAGAAAGTTGTTAAACAGCAATTGATCCCACTGGTCGTGACAGACCTAAGAAGTCTGTTGTTTTGAGCATCCTTGGGTAGGATACTACTTGGATGTTTGGGGTCACACGCAAAGGGTATTCACAAAGTTAGTGGGAAAATTCCGTATCTTTTCATTCCATTTTTTTCCACAAACGTTCTCACGCCCCCTGCTGGTAATGAAAGAAAAACTGAGGCTAAAGAGAGCCAATCCTGACATCCTAAAGTAGCCTTTCAGAGCGGGAGGCATTTTTCAAATAGAATAACACTTTTACAAAGATCTGACAATGATTTTTCTCTTGTCTGTAAGACAAAGATAAAATTAAGTAAGTCCCCTACCGTTTACATTCATGTGACCTGAAATAAAATCTCAAACCTACTTGGCCCTGGAAGCTATTACCACACACCACGTTCCATTAAGCCTGGGTTGGGACTTCCCCTGGTCCCACCGGCATTCAGGGACATGCTAACAACACATAGCTACAGATGAATCATCAGATGCCTTTGAGTAAACCTTTAATGTTCAGTTGTTACATCCCACCAAGAATCAAACCATGGGGAAAGCTGGAGTGTGGAAGTACAAGAAGTGGGTTGAGCTGACGGGGAATTTAATGGGAGCTCCTCAACACCCAGCAGTAGCAAAAAGGCAAAACACTTTTTTCTTTTTTTTTTTTTAATGTTTAAAGGTGTCAACGATAAAGGCAAATATCACCCAATTCACTAGCCTGTCTCCAGCTGGCTCTTCCTCGGTCCAGTCCAGAGAGATTCTCACGTGGCTAGGCCTCGTGCAGCCGCCAGAGAGCATACAGGAGCATGGCGATGGGCGGGGCGGGGCGGGGCGAAGGGCCAGCAGGCGTGGAAGAGCACGGTTCGCCCCTAATCCGGGTTTCTCGTCGCTCGGCTCACTTCCGGTTCCGTTTCCAAAACGGCCTCACCTCGATCTCAAAGCTTGGCCCCCTCAGGGGTCTCTATGAGCCACCGTCCGACCCCTTGCCCGCCGCCTCCGCGCAGGGCTGCATTGTGCTACAGTCACGGTCGCCGTCACAGGCGCCCTGAACCGCACCCCCGGCCCTCCCGCGCTTCCTCTCCCTCCCTCACCCGCACCTGCCCGCCAGCTCCCTGGGGCCGCAGGTGCGGACGTCGGCCGGACTCCACGCCCCGCGGAGGCCTGTCATCTCTGGGGATAGGGAGGCGAGGTCACATGTCGCTTCCGGACCAATGTTCCAGGTGCCTCGAATTTCCGGGACACACGGCGGCGGGGCGAGGACTGCCCCGCGGCATCCCCTCCACGCCCGAGGGAGAGACCCAGGAATCCCCTTTGGCGCCTGCCTCTGCAGTGGGGTTGTGTTCACAATCCCCAGAGCCTTTTAGAAGCGCAGCTCTGGATTCTGTCGGATGACAGATCCCCCTTGCTTCTTAGAAAGGCCATAGGGCGGGAGGGGGGTGGCAGCCGAGTTTTCTTGAATCGTTTACTGCTAAATATAAAGCAAGAATTGAATTTCAATCCAAGGCGGCCAACAGCGGACTTGTATGGACCTCTTGGTTGACCTTCTATAACTGAACGGCTATTTAGAACCATATTCCATTCGGTGGAATTGTTTCCTTTGAAATTCATTTCCATAGAAATTCGATCAATTGTTCAACTGCTCTTTAATCCTACAGTGATCCCTTGAGAGTCCGTCCAGGATGGGCTTAAACCCCTGATTTCTATGCTGCGCTGGGCTGGGCAGTTTAATAGCACAAAGCGTCTTTTCTGCCTGCCCTGATGGAGGGTCAGAACCAAGTGTGCCCTCTTTCTTTCCAGATCGATGCCTTTTTAGTCAAGAATCATGAAGGTCATTCACGGCAGGTCCTGCTGTTGCAGGGAGCTTGAAGGAGATGACCTCCTGTCAGACACCTTTTATTCTAATGAGATACACACTCCGCTACAAACAAGTGTCCGCCCAACTGCCTCAGAGGACAGGTAAAGCAGAAATATGAGAAGCAACCAAGATAAAAAGGAATTTTAATACAGCCGTGTATTTTTGTAGGTGAGAAAGCCCATTTCTCTTTATTGGGCTCTTCTCTTTAGCATATCATAAAATATAACAGTGAGCTCAGCCTAAAAGTGTCCACAACTGATAGGAATTTAGGAAGGAGCTTAATGAGCAGTAAGTTGGTGTGTACTATAAGAAAACAGACAATAAGTTCTGTAACTTTAGAAGGGTCAGTTCCTTCATTTGGAAATTCATCTGTTTTAATCAAAGATTTTTTTCATTGAAGAAACCAGTGTAGCAGTTCACTGTCATGTAACACCATCTGCTCAAAACTAATCACTTAGAATCTATTGCTTGTAGCTGATTTTTAATTTTTATTCTACCAAATTCCTTGTAATACATTGGTTATAGAATATGATTGTGTCCAACATACATCATGTAGTTACTATGTGTCAGCACTGCACCAAATCCTTTATTTATAGCAATTATTTTAATCCTTACAACAACCCTATGGAAGGAGTACTTATTATTATCCCTTTTTTATATACAAGTATGTTGTTGTTGCTGTTAGGTGCTGTGGAGTCAGTTCCAACAGAGTGTATAGGGTTTCCGAGTGGGTGTGAACTGCTCACCTTGAGCTTCAAACTGACCTTGCAGTCTAGTGATTATCCTACAGTGCTACGCACCAAGGAGTAGATAAAGTAAAATACAGGTAAGTCATTTGCTAAGATCTTAGTACCAGCTCTTCTGTATTGATTTGACTCATTAGGTGGGAGTGGGATAGGGGAGCAGATCTCAAAATACCTGGACAGTAAAGAATAGTCTGTATGGGTTTTTTCTTTAAGTTTCGCTTGGTCACATCTCTCCTTTAAGAATTGTTTCTTTAAAGGATGAAACAGGAAGTCACTTATCATCTGTGTAAAATACTTCCAAAATGGGGCATCACTACCACACAAGCAGTGCATTCCATTTTTTAATGCTCCTGATGGGTAGATAATTTTCCCTCTGGTTAGTTCATTTTCTCCTGCTTGTAATTTTTACTGTGAATCCTAATTCTTCACTCTGAAACCATGCAAATCCCAGTCAGCATGCCTTCCCCTTCATAACTGCTCCAAGTGTTTGCAGATTCATCTGGCCTTCAAGTTCCCTTTGTCAGATTAAACATCACTGGTCATCACAAACTTTTCTTGCTTCTTGCATCTGGGCTGTTACTATCTTGATCAGACTTCAAGAGGTCTACTGTAGTTTATAAACATGGCCCTTATATTAGGAAAAAAGGTGGGGGTCTCTTCCATAGTTATAATACTCCTGAAATATTTCAAAATCTATAAAGAATGTTAACAAACTCCCTATTTTTTCCAACCAAAAACAAAAACAAATGAAATCACAAGGAAGAAAACCTGTCCTTCCTTTAGCCAAAAGTAATAACCACTTTGTTAACATGTCTATATGCATCCTCTCCAGTCTTAGTGTTTTTCTTTTAATTTAAAGTTCATCTCACTCATTTTTGTTTTGTAGACTTCCGTTTTCACTTAATAAGAAGGAATGTTTATTTTATATTGGCGAGAAAAAGGTTTAACTCACTTCTGAACCAGTGCTTGCTGCACCTGCTCCTCCACTGTTAACTTAGTACCAAGAGTGACTCAGCCCCAAATTCCCACCCGGTTCCAAGGGTTGTCATTTTAGGCAGGTCTTCTGTGGATTCTGAAGAAACCTTTAGTAGCTGCTGTGTGGTTTACGGACAGGAAGTTGTCATGACTCAAAAAACCAGCACCATGAGGGTTTATATTGGATTAAAAGCCTGGGCTGGACTCCCACATGGAGGCTCGACAGTCTCCACTGGCCTTTTCTTCACCTCCAGGGACCATTCCTGATTTCTGATTAAGTATAAAAGTAACCCGCCTGCCTAGTGATGGTTCTGGATTTTCTCCCGCCTCTCTGCAGAACCTGAGCTGGGCTGGGCCATCTGAGTGCTGGTTCACATCATTAGGATAGATAACTCAGGGCAGTTAAGGACATAGGATGTTTAGACCTGAGGCAGCACTCCTTTATTCTGCACTGAAGGGACAGTCCAACCACAAATGAAATTAAATAATTATCACCCATAAGCAAACTTTGCTTCAACTACAATCTACAGGGCTTTTTCTTTAAGAGCTATTTAGCTCTTCCCCCAATTGTTTAACAATCTGCCATTGATTTATTTATATTTGTCAACGTTAAATTTGGGTTTTTGATATGAGTGTGCTGGCTTAGTAGCTAATCTTACATTCGAATCTCTAGGATTTTCATCTCTAAAGTGAATAATGGTGAAATTTAAAAGAATGTTATTATAATATCTCAGCCCCTTTTTTAATATAAATTCCATGAAAATAAAGGAGAGAGTATTCTTTTTAAAACATTCTTATATAATAAACACCTGATTTCCAAATAATTTTCTAAAATGTTTCTACCATTTTTCACACCCACCACTGGTACATGTCCTTAATGATAGTGTATTACCTTTACTAGTTTATTGTTTTCGTTTTAACCATGCTCTTAGATATAAAAACAATATCTCCTTGAGTACCTTCCCAGGTACTTACTTAGTTATTTGTATTTCCTCTTTTGTGACATATGTTTTATTTCTTTTAATTTGTCATTCTGCTGTTAATTTGTAGACACGTTCTTTGTCTATTCTAGCTACAAATCCTATGAGAAGAAATATCTGTTTTCCAAGTACTTATTGTTATGTAGGAGCTCTGGTAGTGTAGTGGTTACGAATCGGGCTGCGAACCTTAAGGTCAGCAGTTTGAAACTACCAGTCGCTCGCGGGAGAAAGATGAGGCTTTCTGCTCCCATAAAGATTTACAGCCTTGGAAACCCTGTATAGGGTTGCTATGGGTTGGAACCGACTCGATGACACATAACAACAACAACAACATTGTTATGTAGGATCACAATGGCTCGCTCTGTAAGAAAAGCATTGGATTGCCAACCACAAGGTCATTGGTTCGAGTCCACCAGCTGCTCCGTAGGAGACAAATTAGGTTTTCTGCTACCCCAAAGATTACAGCCAAAGAAACCGTATATAGGGTCACTATGAGTCAGAACCAACTTGATGTCACTTAACAACATTATTATGTAGGGGATCCTGATGTAGCACTGTAGGGTAAGCACTGGACTGATAATCACAAGGTCAGAAGTTCAAACCCAACACCCAGTCCTCGGGAACGCTATACAGGGACTCTATGAGTCATAACTGACTTGATGGCACTTAAAACCAACATTGCTATGTAAGAGCCCTAGTGGTGTAGTGAATTAAACGTTGGACTCCTAATCACAAGACTGAGAGTTCAAACCTACCAGCAGCTAATCAAAAGAAAGAGGAGGCTGTCTGCTCCCGTAAGGATTTACAGTCTCAAAAACCTTAAAGAACAGTTCTTCTCTGTCTGCAGGGTTGCGGTGAGTAAGAATCTACTTGATGGCAGTGGGTTTGCTTTGAGTTGATTGTTATGTAAAAAAATTCTCCAAAGTGTATCAGGTGTAAAACAACAACCATGTTATTTTGCTGTTGCTTTTGTGGATCAGTGTTTGGGGAGGGTTTGTTTAGGCAGCTCTTGCTATAGGTGTAGTCAGGGAAAGCCGCTGTTAAATAAATGCAGGCTAACTTCACCAGTTGTCCAAGGTGACTTGACCTGGCTGACAGTGGGTGCCACATGTGTGCTGGATGTGCAGCTGGACTGTCAACCAGAGCACTGCCCACGTCCTCTCCAACATAGTGGCGTCAAGATTACATGGTCAGACTTGTTCCGTGGTATTCCGAGCTCCAGCAGAAGAGTTCCCATGCAGATACTGTCCTGGTCACAGACCGATATTCCATAGACTGCATGTTTTCTTCCAGTCTGGGGCTTGCCTTTTTATTGTCATCCTGATGTCTTTGGATAGAGTACAATTTTATCAATCTTCGGGGGGATTTTAATGCATTTTGTGTCCTGTAAGAAATCTTTGCCTACTCCAAAATTGTGGCGTTACTCTTACTTTTTTTTGTTATCCTGGAAGCTTTAAATGGTATGTGGAATAAAGTGTTTTCTCTCTTTGCAGATAGAAGCTAAAAGCATTCATAAGTGAAATGGCATATAAAAATAAAATTGTTGTTAAGTGCTATCAAGTTGGTTCTAACTCATAATAACCCTGTATAGGGTTTCTGAGGAGTGGCTGAGGCTTTGAACTGCTGACCTTAAAGTTAGTAGCATTCCAGTGCTTATTGTTTTCATTCCATTTTTAAAGACTCCTTACTTCTTCCAACAAATCTGTGTTGGAAGAAGTAGAGCCATGTTTCTTGGAAGCCAAAATGGCCAGACTTCATCTCTCAGACTTCAGACATATTATCAGGGGGGACCAATCCATGGAGAAGAATATCATGTTGGGGGTGGTGGTGAAGAATATCATGTTTGGTAAAGTAGGAGGTTGGAGAGAAAGAGGAAGAGCCCCAACGAGATGGATTGACTCAGTGGTGGCAACAGTAGGCTCAAGCATAGCAACAATGTGAGGTTGACGCAGGACTGGGCAGTGTTTCGTTGTGTTGTGAATAGGGTCACTTTTAGTCGGTACTGACCTGATGGCATCTAACCACAGCAGTGCTTATTCTACTACTGCCCACCAAGACACAGATAGAATCCACTCTGGATGGTTTCTCAGTTTACAGTTGATCCCCACTGGTAGTTTCCTTCTTTGTGAACTATACCAAATTAAGTTCCTTTCACCTCTACTACTTAGGATTCCTGGTGTGGCGCTATGGGCTAATGTGCTGGACTGCAAGGTTGGCGTTCAAGCTCACCAGCTGCTCCTCAGAAACCCCATTCAGGGTCACTATGAGTCAGAACCAACTTAAAGGCACTTAACAACTGCAACCTAGGATTTAGAGTGGATTCCAGTTCAAAGCTATTAAAACAAGCATATAAACAGCCATTCCTACTTGGCTTTTTAAACAGGATTTTATTTGCTTGGT